AGGGGTGCACAATGAATATTGGGGGATGGAAATGAAAGCAATCTCAATGATTCATAACTCAAAGAGCCATCCTGATTTTCTCTTCCATTTATGAAAAGTGTTGTGTTCTTATACATTCTTCCTTCTTTTGTAAAATCCTCTAGCTGGCCTCTTCTTTCCTCACGTCCATAGTGTCTCTTACCATTGAGGCACAGGCACATGCTGTGCCCAGGCTGACTTTGTTTGTGGGTGTCCTTATTTCTTGCACAGTGAGTTTTAGGTTATGTGCATGAACTACTCAAGGTTCAGGTGCCCCCACCCCTCAAACTTTCCCTAAACTATGGGTTTGGGGTGGTAGTAGATGAAAAATAGATATATGTAGATAGAAAGATTGTAATTTAATCAATAAGCTCTATTTGCTTAACATAAAATTGAAATCATAGGTAGCTTTGTCTTTAGCACATGCTGGTGATCTGTCTATAGCTATAAAAAGTAAGATGAACCCTTGGAGAAAAGACAGTACAACTTATTAATACCGTTAAGCCCTACGAACCCAGCTGTGACTCAAGCCAGATTTATACATGCCCTTCCAATTAAACCAATGAATCATCTTTCATTTTTGCTTAAGCTAATTGTAAGCTAAGTTTCTATCCTTTGCAACTGGAAGAATTTTGATTAATACAAACAAGTTTCAGTTTTTACTCTCTTTGGTTGAAATATCCTATTGAAAGTCATTTAAAATTCAAGAAAATGTTTTTTTTTTCTTCTGTGTAGTCAGGTAGCAAAACCTTACCCTGTAATTTATTATTCATGAGTTTTTACTGAAACAAGTACAAGTATCTGAATCTGTCATGATCAGAGGAAATCACATTCATACAGGAAAGGATGCAAATATTTAGCTTATAAATGTGGAATAAGCTTTGGTTGTTCTGCAATGAGGCATAAACATTAGTAAGCACAGCATATATACGTTCAAAGGTGGACTTAGTAGCTTTCTTTCTTCAGGGGCTCCCAGTCTAGCTGAGAAGATGAAGCATATGTACAAACCCCACAACAATAGACCAGTACCACTGTTCATCCAATAATGCAGCCAAGGAGCTTAGAGTATCGAAGTCTGAGAAGCAGCAAGGAAGAGGAATGGGAAATTCTACAAGGCATTTTTTTCAATTGTCATTCTCTCCCCTCAGACAGCTTGTGCCAAGTTGACATAGAACTAGCCAGCACATTGCCATTCTCAATCCATGTAACATATGCATTACTTACATCTGTGATGAAAACATTTATGACATGCCTAAACAATTTCCAAGAGCACGAAACACTATTATTAACTATAGTCGACGTGTTTGCTCTAGAGCCTTAGATTTACCCATCTTCGTATGTGTGTGGGATAGAGAACCTTGGACTCACCAATTCATCTGACAGGTAGATTAGCAAGCCCCAGGATCCTCCTGTCTCTGCCTCTACAGCTCTGTAGTTACACATGTATGTGACTGCACCTAGTCGTATGTAGGTACTGGAGATTGAATTCAGGTCTTCATGTTTTGACAGGAAACATTTTTAGCAAGTGAGCCATCTCTCCAGGCCTAGAATTGACTTATGGCTGAGAACTTGCCCACTCTGACCAGTATGTTTTCATATGGCTTGTCCTTCAGTTCCCGGTAGCCACTCTTCTACTGGGGCTCTAGGAAGACAACTTTCTTAGTTTCTGCATGTGAGTGAAACTGTCTTACTACATCTGGTTTATCTTACTTTGCATGATGCCCTTCAGGTTCATCTGTGTTTTGAAGAAATAGGACATTTATATATATATATATATATATATATATATATATATATATATATATATATGTATATGTATATGTATATGTATATATGTATGTATATATATGTATATATGTATGTATATATATATATGTGTGTGTGTGTGTGTAATATTTTATTGCATGTGTGTGTACCCACATACCCACCCCTACCAGATTTTCTTTATCCATATATCTGTTGATGGACATTAGATTGTTTTTGTATTTGCCTCTTGTAGATAAAGCTACAATGAAAATGCAAGTGGAGATTTATCTATGAGATAAAGTTTTTATTGTCTTTGGAAATATGCCTAGTAGTATACTTGTTAGAGGATATATTAGTTCTATTTTTAACTTTTTAGGACCAGTCACACCTTTCCATCATGATTATATCAACTTGCATTTCCACAGTGTTCAAAGATTCCTCTTATCCATATCTTTGCCAACACGTGTTGTCTTTTGTCTTTTTCCTCACAGCCACTCCTAATGATGTAAGGCAATAACTCACTATTGTCCTGTTTGGCTCTTCTCTGATGATGTTGGATGATTAGTGATGTTGGATGTCTCTTCATATACTGGTTGGCCATTTATATGTCCTTATATGACTATCCAGGTATTTTGGCTTGTTTTCTAACTGGGATTATTACTCTTCTTGATATTGAGTTGTATGATATATGTTTTGGATATTTGTGCTTATTGGATATGCATTTTGCAACTATCTTCACCTTCTCCTCTAAGTAGCTTTTGATTTTGTTGCTCCTGTACTTTGTATCAAATTGAAAAAAATCATTGCTAGGAATAATGTAAAGGAGTTTTATGCCCACCTTTTCATTTGTTTGCTTGATTTTGAAGCATGAGGAACACTTGATTAGAGCTTGTGAGAAAAGCAAGACAGACAAACTTTCCAGCTTGGCCACTTATGGTGATATTTTATTTGTACTGAAATGTGATTTTATTTGTATGTTAATAAATAAAGTTGCTTGGGGGTCAGAGCTAATAGTAAGTCATAGTGGAGCTGGGTGTTTGTGGTGCATGCCTTTAATCCCAGCACTTGGTAGGCAGAGCTAGGTAGATCTCTGTGTGGTCAAGGATACAGCCAGCATTGAAGACACACGCCTTTAATCTCAATACCAACCATAGAAGACCTGGAGGTCTGTACAGACAGGCAGTGATGAGGCGGTCATGTGGTTGGGTTTACAACCAATGAGAAGGCAGAACAGAAAGTCTATATAAAGACAAACACACAGGAAGTAGGTCTCTCTTGGCTGAAGAGGATCGCTGAAGCAGGAAGGGTAAGGCTCTTAGCTCTGACCTCTTGGGCTTTTATCTTTACATTGGCTCTGTGTTTCTTATTTAATAAGATGGTTACTTCTACAGCCACTGGCAGGAGAGAGACAGAAAAAAAAAAGAAGAGAAAGTTCTTCATTTTAAAGTGAGGGTCTTGGGAAGAAGGCATCTTCAGCCATGAAGTCACATGTGGGAGTTGAGGCTTCAGTGTAAAAGTGAGACTGTCCAGAAGGTCAGGGAAAGAAACAGCTTATTAAAGGTAAAATGTGCCTCAGAACAGGCCTCAGCTCCAAAGGCCTCTCTTATCTTTTCTCGCAGAACTCCTAAGTTTATGTTTAAATCTTTATTCATTGAGTTGTTTTTTGTGTGTGGTGGAAGACTGGATGTCTGTGCTGCTTCTTTTGTGGGCCTATTTCCAGCTTCTGTTGAGAAGCTTACATTTTCCCTCATTGTGTATTTTCATGCTCTTTCCAAAGTATAAAACAGTATCCTTAAGAGAACATGCATTATACTGCCAAAGGTTAGAAACAGGAAAATAGGCCATCACATGCATTCAGGAATCCAAATACAAAATTACAAAATGCTTTTTGTGCTGATGAATTCTTCATTGAAGAATACCTTGCTCAATTTTATCATGGTACAGTTTTCAAATTTTATCATAGTAATAAGAAATTGTCACTAAATTCTGTTTAAACATTGTAAAATTTTGGACTCAGCCCTGAATTCAGGTGCTGTCTATATTTCTAAGAAGCTATGCCATTTTGGGCAAGTTACTCTACCTCTTTGAGCTTCAGTTTTATTTGTACAGATAATACCACTCTCCTTCATTATGTGGATATTGTTATTAAGTGAGAAGGATATAAAATTAAGTATATTGCCTGGCACATGGCAGTGCATTTTTGTTATAATTATCAACTTCATACATGGAGCTTTTTATAGGAAGCTTTATGTTGCATGTATCTTATACCTAATGGGCCACAGGTTGTAGCCCCAGCACTGACTTCAGGGACGTTTGCAGAATTGAATTAAGGTTTTCTTGTTGAGGATGATAAGTGAGTGAAAACAAAGGATCCATGGAAGGAAAGAGTCCAGTGTTTGTAATTATTGCATCATGTGCTTTAAATTCAGGTTTAAAAAATGTGAAGTCGAGTGAGATCCAGGAAAGGCGCAAAGCTACACAGAGAAACCCTGTCTCGAAAAACCAAAAAAAAAAAAAAAAAATGTGAAGTCATAAGAATCTTTTTAAATAAAACCTCCACGAGTAAATACATTTAAATATTTAAATTGAGACATTAGGAGAATATTTTAGGAAAATAAGAATGAACTTGTGCAATCAAAAGGTGATCTTTACAACTACTTTGTTAAAAATAGACTTCTGTTCTAAAAATGCTCTCATATATGTAACTCTGAGGCCTTTTTATAATTCTGGTGATAGGAAAACTGGGTTGTCATTGTGTTATTATGAATTTATGCAGAACAGGTAATGTACACATACACACACACACACACACACACACACACACACACACACACACACACACATGACTTCTGTAAGGACAGAGTGTGTGGTATAATTTGTTATGTTGCAGTGAGATTTATTTTGGGCATGGATCATATGTGGATGTGTTATTTGGGAAGGTCAGTGGCATTGCTATTTCTGTTGTGGAAGGTTTCTTTTAAAATAATAGAGTAGAGAAATGATTTCAATGATAATATGTCAATCTGAAATTTATGGCTTATTTGGAAAAGATTTTCCCACCAGTTACTGTTGTAATTTAAGCTGAGAATGCTTGTTAGTTTGCTTCTCGACTGAAGTCAGTCCCCCTTTTCAGAGCCTACACTGAACCTGTAATACTTATGGAAAGAGTAACCATAGCAACCTATATTGATGTCACAAGCTCAGGCTTCTGACTTCATTGCATAATGCAGTAGAAAGTGGATTTGCAGCAGAAACACCCTGCTAAGGAACAAGTATCTTGATTCACAGCAAAGAGGACAAAGAGAAGCATCAGGCTGTCAGGGTTGAAGGCTGGACTGTGAGTCAGATCGTCTGAGTCCTTATTTTAACCTTGCCTCCCACTTGTTGCCTTGTTTTGAGTAATCGTGTTTACATGTGTGCACTGGGATTTGAGGCAAAAAGAATATCCTGTCTGGGATGGATAGAGCAGAGAAAAACTCAGCATACCAAATGTTTTGCATTGATTAGAAATCTAAGTAAAGCTAAAGCATCCTTAAAATCTGAGAAGGAAAAGAATTACTGATGTTCTATTGTAGGTTACTAGCTAGCTCATAAAGAAAATACTGAAATAAGAGCTATCGAGCTAGGCTTTCTTTGTTTATCTTTTGAAGCAGCATTGTAAAAAAGACAGGATTAATGCTTCAATCTCAATTTCAGTAAAAACGCAGAAAACTCATACAGATATGTCACTCAATGTAGCTATGTTCATTTAAAGGTCTTCTGTTGTATTCAGTGTGAAATCAAAAGTTAATATATGTCTATTAATCTGTGTGATGTTCCTCATGTTATATGGTATCCATTATAATAAATATTTCTCATTTTTACCATGTAAATGTAAATCCTTATTAGAAAACAAGGGAATGGGCCTGCTAATTTAAGATTTAAAAAATCTTAAAGCTAATTCTATCTCATTTTTAAGAAAGAGTAAACTTTTCCATTGGATTCTATAACCTATTTGTTTCCGTTCATCTAGTACTTTTTATTATACACTAAATTTTGGAATTGAGACAGGAATAATTATATTTGAAAAGGCATTGAAACAATCAGCTTGCTCTTCAGAGACTATGGTGGAGTATGACATGGTTTAATGTTAAACATCTTAATAAAGGGAGCTATGACCCTTCATACTCCTCTTTTTATCAACTTCATACATGAACTTTTTATAGAAAACTTTGTGTTGCGTGTATCTTATACCTAGTGGACCACAGGTTGTAGCCTCAGCACTGACTTCAGGGATGTTTGCAGAATTGAATTAAGGTTTTCTTGTTGAGGATGCTAAGTGAGTGAAAACAAAGGACTCATGGGAGAAAAGAGTCCAGTACTTGAAATAGTTAATCCTTCCAAATCATCTGCAAGAAATTTATCATGGGATACAACTTTATTATTTCAGTTCTGTATTGAATATTCCCCATGAATACATCGTTTTTCAAGTTTTGAGAAATTTTAAGTTTATGTTGAAAAATATAAAGTGTGTTACAGGATTGGGGTGTGTTTCTGAATAAACTGAGTTGCATGTGATGATAGCTGAAGTGTTAACTTGATTTCTAAAATCTTGCAGAACCATTTTAAAAACAGAATTTAGAGAATAGTATTTTATAGAATATGTAAAATGCATATTAATTCTCTCAATGAAGGCATCATGCCTATCTAATTAGGAAATGTTATCTTTTATACACACAAAAGGAATTATGTGAATTTAATACAACAACTTTTAACTGAGAAGGTCTTAATCATACTTACTAACATTTTGTAAAAGAGCAGATAGATGAAACTATTTTAAAAATCTCAGAAGAGCAATACTGGCTACTCTCTTAATTCTCCTTGGTTTTGTGCCAATTCCACTAATTTTCTAAATATAGTTCTTTGAAAGAGCAAAGAAAGACTAAACAAACACTGTAAAATTATAGCACCAAAGAACTGTGATGATAGAACAGTCTTAGATACATATATCATATGATCTGATGCATTCACGTGACTTTCCCTAAGTTAACCAACAGAAGAATTTAAACCTCCACCAAGTGCTTGTCTTGACCCAGCTCAGTGACTTCCATCGAGAATCACAGCTCCGTGAAACTTTAGCGATTCTACATTATCCATCTTTCAAGTTCTGTTCTTTTGGCAAAGTTTGTGACTATAAATTAAATTTAGCTCTGATAGTGATTCAGTTAAATTCACTTATCATTTTGAAACGTCTGTGTATGGAGAGATTCATGGTGTTCAAAGGTAGTATAAGAATATTTATACAACTTTGCTGAGTGACATTACTTTGAAAAGTAAAACAGAAAACAAAATCAAATATGTGATATAATGCTGTCAAAACTGTATACAGAAGACCTGATGGAATTCCAGAGAGGGGATAATCAGATGCAATGCTGCTATGCATTTAGACAAAGAGCATTCCTCAGATACACTGAAGCTAGTGTCCTCCATCTTCTTTATCATTCTTCCTTACCATCTTGTTCGCATTCTCTTTTCTCAACATACAAAGCATTCGTGTTTATTGTTAATGCATTATGTAAAATGGCTAGGAAAATAAAAGGTGACACCATGATTGAACAAATGTTTATACTATATTATGCATATTCTTTCTCACAAAATTTTAGGCTTGGGGGCTGGAGATTGAACTCCACAGTTAAGAGTACTTACTGCTCTTGCAGAGGATCTGAGTTCAGTTCCCAGCACCTACATCTTGTAGCTCACAACTGCCTATACCCCCATCTCCAAGGGATCCACTACCCTTTTCTGGCCTCTGTGGATACCTGCACACATATGTGAATATTGACAGACACACATATGCATACACATAAAAATTAGGTTTTAATGTAAGATTCAAGCATCATCTTTTTTATGAAATGGTAATATACTCTGAGCATTGATTTATAACTTAACTCTTTTTATATAACAATATTATGTGATCATGTCTTCATATTAATAGCTATTTAACTAAATTCAAAAATAGTTATATTGTGTTAATATATCTAAATTAGTTAATCATTTTGCTATTGTTACATAATCAATTCTTAGTTTATTGTTGACACCATGTATATATTAATATTTATATAGGGGAATCTATTTACACATGGGATTTTAACTTTCTTATATATACAGTCTTAAACTATTGCATGACTTTTTTAGTTGAGAGAGTTTTATTTAAATTATTTGATGTATAATTGACAGATGCTGAATTATTTTGACTGTAAAACTCTAGAATATGGAATTTCTAGAAAAAAGGTTTTAAATTACAAGAATTTTAATACATGTTTTTAAATGGTTCCCAGAAATACATGAATTGATAATATCATAAAAGTGAGACTCATTTTTTTTTTAAACTACTACTAGGCATGAGCATAATTTTTAACCATAACAAACCGCTAGAGAAAAATACTGTTCAAAACAAACTTGTGTTGTTCACTTGGGATCCTGCGGCATCGGACAGTTTTTCATTTGTGAGGTCAATTCAACTTAAGTTGATTTTTTAAATTGAAACTTTAAATTTAACAATTTGGTTTTGATTTGTTTCTTATGGGTTTACAAGGGTAAGTTTTATACGAAGGTAGCAATTGACGGACATGTTCAATGTTAACTTCTGTTCCATTTAGTCATTTGTTTTTTGGTTTTTTTTTTATCATAGTTCTCCTTCGTTCTTTGTTACCTCATATTTGTATGTCTAGAATGTGTTAATCCTCTTACGGTTTCCGTTTGGGGTTTCATACCATCCAACGATCACATGGTGCCGGGGAGCTGTCTCAGCCAGGAGAGTGATTGCTATGCGAACACGGGGACCTAAGCTCCCTCCCTGGCACCAATGGAAAAGCTGGTGCACGCACACCTTTAATTCTCGCTCTGAGGAGACGGAGGCAGAAGAATTCCTACTTTACTTGCTAAGTTACAGGTTGATTCAGAGACCCTTTCTAAAATATTACGGTGGAAAGTGGTTGACCAAGACACCTAACATTGACCTTGGGGTTTCATGTGCATGTGCCCACACACTTACATGCACTCCCGTTAACATAAGCACACACACGCAACCATGTAAACATACGTAAGACAAGTGGTTGTCTGTTTCTCCTGCTGTTTTCTTTTTTTTTAATTTTTTTAAGTTTTTTATTTTTATTTTTTTATTTTCTTTTCATTTATTTTTTTTTGAAGTATATAGTGATGTAACATGGTGAAATGGAGTTGAACTTCATTTGAAAAATGTCCAGTTGGTTTTCATCCCTTTCTTTACATAACCTGATTTCCATTGTTTCTTGGCCTTCTCCCTTTTATCAAGAAATAATACATCAACTCTGTATGTGGTTTCTACAATTCTGCTCCATGGTCTAATGTCGTTATCATACTGCTTTACTTATCAATTATGACTTAAAGCCTTTGATATCATTCTATAATAACCTTATAAAATAAATTAGAAAATGTGTGCTGTTTTTCAGTGAGTATAGATAAAGAAAATATCATGCCCTATTGTTTTATTTGACTTGCTGTTTTTATTCGAGATGATAAATTTATTTTTATTTTTAAATTTATGAGATTAATTTATTCTAAATGCTATATAACAATTTGTCCAGCAAATATATAATGTCATTTTTATTTTCTCAGAGAATACTTTATCAAATGTTTTTTACATATCTAGCAAGTTAACTTTGTTTTTAAATGTATTGACATATATTATGAATATTATTATACACAATAATACATTACGTTATGACATTTTCTTACATGTGCATAATGTATTTCAGTCATTTCACCCCCATTCCTCATATTCCTTCTTTTTAAAACTTACCTTTTAAATGGTTTTTTTTTTTTTTTTTTTTTTTTTTTTTTTTTTTTTTTTTTTTTGGTTTTTCGAGACAGGGTTTCTCTGTGTAGCTTTGCGCCTTTCCTGGAACTCACTTGGTAGCCCAGGCTGGCCTCGAACTCACAAAGATCCACCTGTCTCTGCCTCCCGAGTACTGGGATTAAAGGCGTGCGCCACCACCGCCCGGCTTAAATGTTTTTAATTGAAATAATTAAATCATCCCCCACTTTTTTCTCAACTTCTCCCAATTATTATCCCTGGAACCACTCCCATGCCTCCTCTCAAGTTGATAGCCTCTTTTTCTTTGATTATTATTATTGCATACATGTATATCTATATGTGCCTGCACAAATATTTATCAACACAACCTGCTTAGTCTGTTTTTGTTTGTGTGTATATAGTTTCAGGGTCAATCCACTTTACATCGTACAACCAGTAAGGGAGTTCATCCTTGGTTGAGGCTAGTTTCCTCTCTCTCTCTCTCTCTCTCTCTCTCTCTCTCT